ATTCCACATTCTGGGTCCCTTGATTTGTAGAGTATTTCTAGTTTGATTAAGTCGTACTCTTAGAATATCAAATAGGTATTTGTTTCTGGTGTGGTGCCCATGGGTTCTGTTACAACCTTCTAAGAAGCTTTTAAGGTCAGGATTTACATTATAATTCAGAGTTTTAAATATATAGAGTACACATGAGAGGATGTGCAGTGACTTAATATCTAACATATACAGAGATTTGAGTAAGGGTACCGAGTGCTGTCTGGGGCCAGAGTTAGATATTGTTCTAATAGTAGCTTTGTGTTGGGTAATTAGAGGACATAAATGATTTTGGGTAGTAGAACCCCAAGCACAGATACCATAGTTGAGATAAGGGTAGATGAGAGAGTAATAGAGTGTCACCAGGGAAGGGCGAGGTACATAATATCTGGTCTTAGAAAGAATACGAACAGTTTTAGAAACTTTTTTTGCTATATTTAGAATGTGTCCCTGGAAATTTAGCTTGTTATCGATGAGGACTTAAAGGAATTTACCATCAACTTTAGTACTGATTTGTATATTCTGTAACCCCGCGATTATCCGAGATTCAAACATCCGGAAAACGCCCTTATACAGCCAAAATCGTGATCGGATAAAGTTATCACAATATCCGGCCAAAATGGCCACAGGAACCGGATAAAAGCTGGTTTGGCCGGTTGAATATTCGACCATACCGTATTAATCCCGTCTGTGGCTCTAGACACATGGTGGAGGAGAGGGTGGGGTAGGTGGGTGGGTGGTGTTGGGAGGGTGGGAGGGGAGCGTCGGAAGGGACCACCTGGGTACAGGAATTACCATTAATTTTTGAACACTTAATCATAGCCAAAAACAAATGAAATAAGTACTAGTAATTATGTAATAACAAATAAATAAGTTTCCTAAAAGTAATGTGCACAGGCTGAAGTTTCCTTCAAAAATATTGTTTTTTTTTTCCTCCTGGCAGCCTTCGTAACGCGCTATAGCTGCCCCACTCCAAGTGGACCCGTCCAACACTGGTCAACCCATGTGCGCCCGTCCCTCGTGTTATATAGTGCTGCGCCATTAGTGAAATATTTTTTTAAATAACTTTTTTATTTTCATAGTAACTTTGAACATTTTTGGCCAAGATTATGTCTGGTAGCAGCATCAATCGTTCTGGAGGTGTTAAGAGGAAGAAGGTTGTCCTAGCAATTAAAGACAAGTTATGTGTTGTTCAACCAGTGAGGCATCACAGGCAGCCAAATGCCTTCAACAAGTGAGGCGCCACAGGCAAGCCAAGCGCCTTCAACAAGTGAGGCGCAAGCAAGCAAGCGCCTTCAACAAGCGAGGCGTCACAAGCAAGCCAAATGCCTTCAACAAGTGAGGCGCAAGCAAGCGCCTTTAACAAGCGAGGTACATGCAAGCGCCTTCAACAAGTGAGGCCTCACAGGCAACCCAAATGCCTTCAACCAGTGAGGCTTCAGCAGCTGGCAGTCAAAACTAACTTTGCTTAATGAACTGTACAGTAATTTTAAGTGTTAATTTTAGTGTTGTGTTAGTATAGGTTACGTAAATTGTTAAGAATTCTTAACTTCAAGATGTGTGGCATCAATCAAGAAGACGAACACCAACAAGGTAAGTTGAGGTTTCTAGTTGAATATTTAATAATTATATGTGGCAAGGCAATTCAAATTATGTTGTTTGTAGTATAAAAGTAGTTGGAAATTGTCACTTTTGGACTCGTAGGTGAAAAAGTACCATTATCCGAAAAATGTGATAATCCGGCTGGGGGTCCTTCCCATATAGTCCGGATGATCGAGTGGAGACAGTTGTTTATTCTTAGATTAATTTAATTTGAGAATTTATTACCAAACAAAATATAGAAAGTTTTGTCAATGTTAACCCCTTAACTGTGCGGCCTCCATATATAACACCCCCCCAGTGTGCAGGAAATAAAATCTCTGGAAAAAATTATTTTCTGTTGTTTTTAAAGTGTCAAAACCCCTTCCCTGAGTAAGGGTATAGTAACAGAAGGTCGAAATTGTAAGTACTTTAGCTGCTATGGGGTTCGTAAGTTCGTGCGTGACGTCATCATTCCCTGGTCGCCCGTGGCATATGCCTCCGGGGTCGGTAGGGCGCTTGGGGCAGGATGCCCGAGTTGCCGCAAAATATATTTTTGTTCATTTTCTGCGCACAGTTCCATATACATTTTATATGCTCTTACGTGCCAATCCTATGTATAATGAAAACGAAAAGGTTTGGAATTCAAGTGATTTGTTGAAGAGCAACGCAATGGCAGGAGCTAGAAATCTGGAGGCTTTTTTGTAAATTAGAGATGGTATCTCATCAAGGGCGCTTGACTTAGTTTTAAGGGAACGTATTACAACATTAACATCAGAGGAATTAGCAAGAGCTAGGTACAGAGACTTTGGATAATTGCCTGTAAGATAGTCTTTAATATTAGTGAGTGAGGATGTTATATCATGAGCAAGGGATGTCCCAATGGATGAAAATACCTATTGATTTCAATAGCAGTGTCTGAGGCTGAAAGCACATGATCGCCATTGGATAGGAGAATTGGTTTTTTATTTAAAATCTTTTTTTGATCCTAATATTTGTGAGATAGTGCTCCACGTTTTCTTAATGTTGCCCTTAATTTTGGTAAATTTATTTTCATAGTATTTTATTTTGGCTCTTCTAATTATTTTAGACAGCATGGATGAGTAACTCTTTGAAAATTCTTTGGTGATGACTCCTATACTTCTACTCAAGGTCATATTTTTTATTAATAGATTTAAGTATACCCTTTGTAAACCATGGAGTGTTTACTTTTTATTTGTAACTTGTTTCGTTAGCATTGGACAGTGGGAGTTATAAAGGTTCAGACTACTAGCTCAACAGACTACTAGTTTTAAAGAGCGCTGTTTGTCGACATAATTGTATTTGTGCTGCTTTTTCAGCTGTTTTCATTTCTTGTTTTCATTCTACTCTTTATGCTCAATTAGTATTAAGCTTGTCATTTAAGTTTTTCATGCCCGAAACGCTTTGCGTAATAGTGGCTTTAGGCATTGTATGTACTAGCTCTACCTATAAGTCAACCAATCTTTGTAAAAATTTCTTGTATGTATGTACCTTACCTAAATAAACATTTTATTTTATTTATTTTATTTATTTATATATAAAACTCTGAACTGTAATGCCAATCCTGACCTCAAAAGATTCATTGAAGGTTGTAACAGAACCCATGAGCACCACACCAGAAATAAATACAGTTTTGATATTCCTAGAGTACGACTTAACCAAACTAGAAATGCTCTTCAAATCAAGGGACCCAGAATGTGGAATGATCTTCCCAACCATGTTAAAGACAGTACCTCTCTCAACCAGTTTAAGTTAAAAACGAAGCACTACCTAATAAATTCCCTGTAACCTACCTTACCCCTCTGTTGTCAACCCATGTATGTTTTTTTTTTTTTTTTCAAAACAACGCTGTTTGAATGTAATTTTCTGTAATAATTTGTAATTGTATTTGTGCTGCTTTTTCAGCCATGTTCCCCCCTCTTTTACCTCTATTTTTATTTGTTCTCAACACATTTTATTCTTTTTACCCATTAGTATTAAGCTTTAGTCATTAATGTTTTTCCTGCCCAAAACGCTTTGCGTAATAGTGGCTTTAGGCATTGTATGTACTAGCTCTATCTATTAATCCAACAAACTTTGTAAAATCTCTTTATGTATGTACCTTACCTAAATAAACATTTATTTATTTATTTATTATTTATTTATTTACAAGAAATGCTAGCTATCTACTAGATAGATACTAGCCCTATCTAGAAATTCAGCGTTCTGCTTGTATGTATATACTGTTTTTAAATAAACATTATTATTATTTTTAAATAAATAGGCCTAAAAATGAAAATGGTCATCAATTTGTATTGAAATGTGATGAGCTTCTAATTTCTTGATTAAAACCAATTTATATTTCTGGTGCCAATAAAAAGTTATGATCTCAAACTGCTTTCTACACACAGCTCCAATGTTAAATAACAATAAAACCAAAATATTAAGAACTTAGCGTGTTTACATCTCATAATAAAAAAATTTCAACACAACAAAAATAGAATGCACAGTATTATTGAAATATGAAAAAAAAACAATAAAACTTTACTTATCTTTGTTAAAGTAAAGACATACAGTATTTCTTTATGAATTTTAGTTTTTCTACACTGTTGAACAAAACAATAAAATATTTTTAAATCTTTACCTTTCATGGTGAAATATATTTCTCAATCACAATATAACATAATTACCTCTGTAGGACACCCAACTGACATGGTGATAGCATAATATTTTCATGATTTCAAGATGAAGCCGAATTTCCAAATTGTATATTAAATTAAAGGTAAGGTAATGACCTATGTGCCTCAATAAAATTAAATAATTTCTGAATCATCTTTCACACTATAAGTGTTTAGCCTATCAACTGAATGTTTCATCTTGTGTTTCTTCATATTTGAAAGTAGACTGAATCTCTTCCCACACACTGGACACAGGTGAGGTTGCTCACCAGAATGCACTAACATGTGACTCTTCACATGTCCCAGACGCCTGAACCTCTTCCCACACTCTGGACACTCATAATGTCGAACACCTAAATGCACTAACATGTGATTTTTCATATTTCCAAGCTTATGGAATCGCATCGCACACTCTGGACCCTCATGGGTTCCATCACCCAAATGCACTAACAAGTGCCGTATTATAGCTCCACGTTTTCTAAATTTTGTGCCACATTCAGCACACTCAAAACGTCTTTCATTTGTATGCACCATCATGTGAGTCTTCATATTTCCTCGCAGCTTAAATCGCTTTCCACACTTTGGACACTCATGAGGTCGATCACCCGAATGCACTAACATGTGAGTTTTCAAATGTTCAAGACGACCGAATCTCTTCCCACACTCTGGACACAGGTGAGGTTTATCACCAGAATGCACTAACATATGACACTTCACATGTGCCAGACGCTTGAACTTCTTCCCACACTCTGGACACTCATGTCGAACACCTAAATGCAAAAACATGTGATTTTTCATATTTCCAAGCTCACGGAATTGTTTCCCACACTCTAGACACTTATGAGGTCGGTCACCGGAATGCACTGATATGTGATTCTTCATATTTCTAAGACGACTAAATCTCTTCCCACACTTTGGACACTTGTGAAGTCGATCACCTGAATGCACTAACATGTGAGTCCTCATGTCTCTATAATTAATGAATCTCTTCCCACACTCTGGACATTTTTGAGGCCCTTTACCCAAATGCAAAGACATGTGTCGTATTATAGCATAACGTTCTCTAAATTTTTTGCCACACTCAGCACACTCAAAAGGTCTTTTATCTGTGTGCACCTTCATGTGAATCTTCATACTTCCAAGCTTTAACAGTCTCCGTGGTGTAGTGGTAAGACACTCGCCTGGCGTTCCGCGAGCGCTATGTCATGGGTTCGTATCCTGGCCGGGGAGGATTTACTGGGCGCAATTCCTTAACTGTAGCCTCTGTTTAACGCAACAGTAAAATGTGTACTTGGATGAAAAAACGATTCTTCGCGGCAGGGGATCGTATTCCAGGGACCTGCCCGAAACGCTACGCGTACTAGTGGCTGTACATGAATGTAACAACTCTTGTATATATCTCAAAAAAAAAAAAAAAAAAAAAAAAAAAAAGCTGACTGAATCGCTTTTCACAACAAGGACACTCATAAGGTTGATCACCTGAATGCACTAACATGTGAGTCTTCAAATTTCCAAGATGGATAAAACGCTTCCCACACTTTGGACACTCGTGAGATTTGTCATCTGAATGCACTGACATGTGCCGTATTATCGCAAAACGTTCACTAAATTTTTTGCCACACTCAGTACACTCAAAAGGTCTTTTAACTGCATGCATCATCGTATGAGTCATCATACTTTCATGCTGACTGAATCGTTTTTCACTCTCAGGACACTCATAAGGCTTATCACCCGAATGCACTAACATGTGAGTCTTCAAATTTTCAAAACAACTGAAAATATTACCACATTTTCGACACTGGCGAGTTCCCATTTTCTTTATGATAGGTGCAGTTTGTGTGAAGATTTTCCCTTAATGCTCTTGTCTTGACACTCACGATTAATTGATTGATGAAGGTTAAGCTACCAATGAGGAGATTCGGACACGAGTAGACCCGAGGCGGTAGAGGTTTGCAGTAAATGTGATCTTCGATTGTGCAGGGAGAGTTGCGAAATGAGGGTGGATGTGCCGACACAAGTGAATCTAGTGGTCAGCCAGTCGATTATCAAGTTTTCCTGGTTACTGGGAGGCCTTTGTTCCTGGTGTGCTGTATACTGTATGTTGAGCTAGAACTCACCATTTGTTATTATGGCAACCGACGCTCGTCTAAGTGTTCTAAAGTGTTTTCGGGTTCTACATCTTATTTTTTCCTACTTCTTACTTTTGTTTATAGCAGATTTTCTAGATTTGAAACTTATATTGTCCTCGTGTTTTCTAATCAGAGAATGTATGTTGAATTATTCCTTTATATATAAAGGCAGAAGAATATATACTTTTTGAAGGAAACAGTTCTTCCATTGTGAATGCACTACTGAGCATGCCCAGAGCGGGGACGGATAAGGGACAAGACACTCCGTACATTGACAACATCGCACACTAATATTTTTACCACTTCGGACACCAGCTTTGGACGTTTCGCATATGTGTACGTGTTCCATATTAAAACGACAATATAATGCTATTAACAATTAAAATCTTCTACTTAACAGGCATATAGTTATTAAATGAAGTTTAGTGATGTAATAGACATAATCCGGAGTTGGTAAAAACGCCGCCCGCCAGCGTAAACACAACACACCCCGAATGCCCACAAACACGATACAACGCACAAAACACAACACTGTCAGTTTTTTTTTTTTGAGATATATACAAGAGTTGTTACATTCTTGTACAGCCACTAGTACGCGTAGCGTTTCGGGCAGGTCCCTGGAATACGATCCCCTGCCGCGAAGAATCGTTTTTTCATCCAAGTACACATTTTACTGTTGCATTAAACAGAGGCTACAGTTAAGGATTTGCGCCCAGTAAATCCTCCCCGGCCAGGATACGAACCCATGACATAGGAGTTTTTGGATAAACTCCTTTTATATTTATTATGTGACAGTTATACTTGTATAAAATGAAAAATATTATAGGAAAGCGACTAATATTTAATATTAATCAATAAAAAAGAAGTCAGAAGCCACACGCCTGTCTGTACATGTCTTTTGTGTAAAAGTATTTTGGGCGTTCATGTACTTGTGCGCTAGCTGGCTTTCACAACTGTTCTCGCCTACAAGCATTAGAATTAAACAAACTAATTTATTTATTTATTTATGTACAAGATACATTTTTTCAAGAGAGTACATAACATTGGTGTTCTTACATTTTTTTTAAGCCACTAACTCGCAAAGCCTTTCGGCATGCTACTACCCTGGATCACCTATGGACTAATATAACAGCTCCCCCTACATCTGGGGTAATTTATGACAGAACAACTGACCACTATCCTACTTTCCTCATAGCAAACATTGACACATCACCACCAGAAACCAAAAAACTTTCATTCAGGCTACATAGTGAATCAGCTTTAGGCAATCTCTCTAATGCACTTCACAATATTAACTGGGAATCTGAATTTAATAATTCACAGGATATAAACTCATCAACTAACCTCTTTCTCTCCAAAACTCTAAGCCTCAACAACACTCACTGTCCCCTCCTTACCAAACAAGTAACTGATAAAAAAAAATAACCCGTGGCTCACAAGTGGCATAATTAAATCAATCAACAAAAAACATGAATACGAAAAGAAATTTAGGAGTGGCCTAATTTCAATGGAAGTAGTTAAAAGGTACTCATCAGTGCTTACCAGTATCATAAGAAAAGTAAAACTTTCATATTATGAGACTAGATTCAAAGAAGCAAAAGGCAACATGAAAAGCACATGGAATACCATCTCTAACATCCTGGGAACTAAACAACACTCCCACAACCAGATAACACTCTCAAAGGATGGCCTTACACTGTCATCTGACTTAGAAATGGCGAATGAATTTAATAGCTTCTTTTCATCGATTGGTGCTAACCTTGCAAGTAAAATCCCACAGACTCAGACACATATCAACACATATCTCTCAGGCAGCTATCCAAACTCTCTTCTCCTCTCACCAGTCAGCCCATCAGATGTTGTGTCCATCATACACTCACTAAAAACCAAAGCTGGGAACATCAGTGAAATCCCATCCATTGTATACAAGAGCGCCTCCCATGCCCTTGCACCACCTATAGCTCTGCTGTTCAACAAATCCCTTGAGTGTCATACCTTACCTGATATCCTTAAAAACGCAAGAGTAACGCCAGTTCATAAAGGAGGTAATCCGTCAGACATAAACAACTACAGACCAATATCGAACCTACCCATACTATCAAAAATATTTGAAAAAAATTATCTACAAACAGCTCTACTCCTATCTCGTCAAATTCGACATTCTTAGCCCCTGTCAGTTTGGCTTCCGCTCTCAAAAGAGTACCAACGATGCAATTATTAGTCTCCTTGATATAATTTACTCTGCCCTTGACAAAAATGAGTTTCCAATTGGACTCTTCATTGACCTGAGAAAGGCCTTTGATACTGTTAATCACGATTACCTCTTATATAAACTCCATCATTATGGCATCCGAGGCCATGCACTGGACTATATCCAATCCTATCTTAGTGATAGACACCAATGTGTAGCCATCAATAATATAATCTCTCCCATTCTACCAATAACCGTTGGAGTGCCTCAGGGCAGCATCTTGGGACCCCTACTATTTCTTATATACATTAATGATCTGCCTAATGTCTCTAACATTCTGAAACCTATTTTGTTTGCTGATGATACTACCCTCATTTACTCCAACCCCAACCCACATACACTAAATGATGTTGTTAAGAATGAACTAAAAAAAGTCCACTTATGGATGTCTACCAACAAACTAACACTTAACATAGAAAAGACCTACTACATCCTATTTGGAAGCAAATCTACAAATGCAATTCAGCTTCAGATTGACAATGTAAACATTAGCAATAAAAATGATAGAAAGTTTCTTGGCATATTCCTAGACAAGAGACTCAACTTCAGTACCCACATACAATACATAACTAAGAAAGTCTCTAAAACAGTTGGTATACTCTCCAAAATCAGATATTATGTTCCTAACTCTGCTCTCATCTCTCTATATTATGCACTAAGCTATCCCTATCTCAACTATGGTATCTGTGCATGGGGTTCAACCACTGCAAACCACCTCAAGTCCATCATCACCCAGCAAAAATCTGCTATCAGAATAATATCAAATTCTGCTTTCAGACAACACACAGCTTCCTTGTTTAACTCCCTAAACATGCTAAACATAATCTCACTCCACAAATTCTCTTGTGTCAACTACATTTACAAAACCCTGTTCTTAAATGCAAATCCTTGTCTGAAACTCTTCCTGGACAGATGCAATAGGACCCATTATCACCACACCAGAAATAAATATCTCTTTGATATCCCCAGAGTTAAACTTAATTTGTGTAAACACTCTATGCAAATAAAGGGACCCAGTTTATGGAACTCACTCCCTACTGAATTGAAAAGCTGTCCAACTTTTACATCATTCAAAATCAATACAAAAAAGTACCTAATTTCATCTTCATAGTTTCTCTTTTTGCCTTAAAATTGCACTGTATCTATTGCTACCCAATCTCCCAACCTTTTATTCCCAATTTGAACATCTTTACCATTGAGATCATTGCTGTTATCTTATATTGACAAAACTTTCTATATTCTGTTTGGCAATAAATCCTCTAATCAAATAAATCTCAAAATAAACAATACCCAAATTTGTAACAAATTAGATGGCAAATTCCTTGGCATTCTCATTGACCACAAGCTGAATTTCCAGGGACACATTCTAAACATATCAAAAAAAGTTTCAAAAACTGTGGGCATTCTTTCTAAGATCAGATATTATGTACCACGCCCTGCCCTGGTGACTCTCTATTACTCCCTTTTTCTGATCAGGGGGAGAAAGATACTGGCAGTATGGGGCTTTAAATTTATTGAAGATTAAATTCTGCAGAACATGTAAATATATAAAGTTTCAAATATATAAAGTAAGTAAATATATAAAGTTTATATTAAAATATATAAAGTAAATATATAAAGTAAGAATTAACAGTAACAAGTCCAAGTCCGAGGACTAGATTTAACTTAAAAGGTACACCCGTAGTAAGTATGAGACCTTAGCCTATAGTGACATGGAAACTAATTCTGCAGAAACCTAAAGGTTAACTGGTACT